TCTATCTATCTATCTCTCTCCTTTCTCTCACGCTGCCTCGACATGGGGTGTGGTCACATGGATTTAAAGTGGATTGTATTAAAAGAACCTCGATTCAGCGTACGGGATCACACAAGACTGCCTGCTGTTGGAAACCTTCTTCCACACCGTTTTGCCGTGTCGCTCAATCGCCGCTTGGCGTTGGGCGGTGCAGGGGGCCAGTTCCTCCGCGACCACCCAGCGATTGGCATCTGCATCACGAACTCCTCAGTCAGTACTGAGTCTGTTGATGGAACCATTGGACACCAAAAGCACCACGAAAAAACACGAAACCTTGTAGTTAGTAGCCCAGTCCTTTATCAATCTCAGGTGGTACAGTGTAGGAGGCCTTTTTTCGGAACCATGGCTGAGGCCATGACATGCCGTCAGATCATTGACTTCCCCCACTGCAGCAAGCTCGGAGCTGGTGAGGTTCTTTGGGTTTATCAGCGAAAATCACCAGGTGTCCTGAGACTGATCTAATTCTTGATTCATTGATGTCGGTGGTCCACCCACCCCGGCTTGCTGTTGAAACTATGTTCTTCTCCCATGTTCGCAGAACGTTCGATGAGTGGCGGCAAAGTAATACCAGGCCAGGCCTGGGAGATGAGTGTCCTGGGTGGTCGGAGCAACTCCACTCGTCTCGGCATGAGAAGGAAAAGACGGACATCTCCAGTCGAGAGACTGACGTTCGACATGTCGAGAGACTAACCACGCAAGTTCGCAAATGGGAGGAACATCCTTGCTGTATCTGATCAATCTGACCACGCAAGTTAGGCATGTGGAGATGCAGAGACGTCAGACACATGAATGTTTTTCTTTGAATCAAACGAATCAAAAAGAACATGTGACATGTGGCGATGAGAAAGGCAGGGCAGTAAGCTACGACATGCTACAACCGTTAGTTTGTGTGAAAATCATTGACCCACACGGACCAGGAGGTGGTCTCCTACTGATGTGACAAGGGGCTCACTGTGGTTTCCGGTTGCATACGGCAAAAAGAATGCAATCTTTTTGGTATGTGAATGCGTTTCTTCTCAAAACTACATCTGGAGCTGACAATACAAGACGAGCCCCAAAATCTCTGTTAGCGCTTGGGGCATTGCTTCCCGCCAACCTCAAAAACCTATGTCATCATCCTATTTCGTATCCCAAGTGTCGCTACAGCTCTCCACTGGATGGCACAGGCCAAAGGCTTCTACGCTCCTGGCAGGACTGGATAACTCACACAATCCTTGGCAGCTTGGATTCGACAGCCTCAAAGAGCCCCAAAGGTGGCCACTTTGCAACCGCATACAGCCAAAAAATCCTCAACCATCAAATCGTAGTAACAAATGGCATCAACTCTTGCTGGATCGTTGTGACCCCACCCTTGACACGTCAACTCAGATTTGCAACCAGCCCGCCGGCTAGCCCTTGGCCATCTTCGGCCGGGCAATCGGCCCATCCATCTACACCAAACCATCCAGGCCCATCTGACCCCACCTCCAGTCTGTATCTGTCATCGTGCCTGGACAATCGCTGCAGCAGCGGAATGAGCAAATACCCTCGTCCCCAACCTGCAATCCCTGGAAACGGAAAAAAGGTGCGATGCATTCACCGAAAAGAACCAGCCGGCTCACCTCAACTGCATTCAGCTGCCAAGCTTGTGAAGAAAACCAGCACCCACGGCAACTAATATTCGCGAAAATGCCCAAACCTGCTGATCAATGCACTGAGCCGGCCACCGCCCTAATCCCAACTGGATCTGCCTAATGCTGCAGCCAGCGTCGCCAGCTTCTTGATGCTCTCTCTGTCTTTGGACTGAGGCCAATCTTCATCCTCCAGGCAAAAGGGTAAGCCTCCAGCGCGTGTGGACGGCCCGTGCCATGGCTTTGCCAAAAACGATGGACAATCAGGAGTTCATGATTTAGTGTTTTTGTGGGGTCTGCCATGGGTGTTGGCCGGCAACTGGAACCCGAATCATGATGGAGAGGCCCAACACCACGCACCCTTGTGGGAAGAATATGAAGCACTTGGATCCCAGCTGTACATATTGGCAACCATGACTCATGACCCTCCTCTTGATAGCAAGCAAGCTTTTTCACCAGGTACAGAATAGCGTAAAAGCGGTTGAAAACGTGGTGTCCTAAATCATTATCCGATCAACATTGCTCGGTGCACATGCACCAAGATTGCATCAGATTCTGGCCTGTTTCCACAATGCTGTAGACAGCACCCTCTTGGATGCCTTACAATATGCCGATTCTGGCGTGAAAGCCTCCCTGCAACTGTCCGGTGCACAAAATCTAAGGCGACCATTAGCGTCAAAAAGCGTCAAGAAGCGTCAAGCAATCATACATGAGCAGGCCAAAAAGAACAACCTAGCATGATCGAATTGAGTATTAATATACTGTACATCTCTTGATCTGGGTGGGTCTCCAAATAGTTACCTCCAATCAATCATTAAAAACACTACTGTGCTGGTTTAGCGGTGTTGCTCGAGCTACGGGGTTCCCCGGAGGCATCCGCGCGGTAAAAACAAATCTAGTGCACGCAAGCCGGCTCAGCAAACTAAAAGGAACTTTGGTTGCAAGAATGCCGCGACACAGATCTTGGCAGAAAGTCCTGTGATGGGTTGTTGTCCCCCTTCGACGTCAATGAAACAGCTAGGGCTATTTACGGTAGAAAGAGGGGACGATGGAAGGCATCAACCATTTCAAAAAGCAAACCCCACGCAAAGCACACACAAAGCCCCTCCGTGTTATGCAACTAAATGAACAAACTACCCCGGCCAAAATATGCATATCCCCTTGTCTGTGCTCTGTGGTAAATGATGGTACGATGGTTCAAAGGGTCAGAAGACTGAAACCTCAAGACTGACGAAGCATCAAGATTTGTAAACGATCGTGACCTCAGTGCTTGGCCTGAATATGCAGGCCAAGACTTAGCTCACCGAGACGACCGAGATGCAGTGCTTCGCCCCAGCAGCCAGGGCAGCATTGCCCATAGCCAACGGGATGCCACCTGTGCTGTAATGTGCAAAAACAGGTTTGGTGACTCAAAGGCCTGGCTCTGTGACACAAACTGGTGTTTCATGGTCCTTCAACTGAGTGATTTCGTTCAATCCGACAATGATGGAACGATGCGACACTCATCAGTCGACACGCTGACTTTCAGCCTGTTGATTCTGGTGACGGTCGACACTAATTGTGTGTTGTGGACATCAAAAAGGCCCAATGTGGAACATAGGACCTATAGCCCTACACATGCTTAGAAAGCAATTTCTGCCCAGGGTCTGCCCACCTCGTTTTCTGAATTTAGGTTAATTCACTTCACCTCGTGAAATAGCAAAGGTTCACCTCGTACCTCCTTAGTCCTCGCTCTAAATTGCGCAAACATCATAGAACCAAGGCTCATGCAGTCCCCCTCCGAGGCTTGGGGCCCGTGGGGCCCGTGCCGCCCGGTGGCTGCAGAGTGAAGTTCCACAGGAAAAGAAAGAAACAAAACGCATCGTGCACTGCGGAGTCCCAAGCAGAGTCCCAAGCTGCTCGGTGGGTTCTCTTCTTTCAATCTGGCTAAGACGCTGGACACCCAAAGTTGGCGCTTGTTGCTGTACTCCGCAATGCACTGGTCCAAACCGTCCTTGGGAGATCAGCCCTGATTTGTAATCCAAACAGCCCCTTTCTCTCTACATACATATATATGATTATAGATAAATATTGAACATACTTATAATTTCCTTATATAGTAATATATAGTAACATATATATATATATTATTGAGATATATTGAGTATATATGTGAAGACATATTTATAAATTGTATATTGACAAGAACAATGTTGCATCTTCAGATGTCTGATTGCGAGCCAGAGACCTGCTTAAGAGAAGACATGTCACAATTCAGTGCTCAAAGCTTCGATCAAGTCTGGGCAACTGCTTGTCGAGAGTGCCCACATTGATAGCTAGCATACTGCAGTATCTGAATGTAGCTGACACACAGAAAGCGCACATTGATCCTCTCTCGCACTTGACAAGAATCAAATGACTTCAAAACCACCTCACGATGGAATACGAAGCACTTTTAGAGCTCAGAAAGGGTCTCCAATTGGAATTAGGAAGTCCTGAAAGAATGTGCCCGTATGTGCATTTGGTAAGCGTCAGCGTGTTGAGCAATCCAACTGACAAAACCACAATCACCAAGTAAACACGCATGGACTACCACGCAGGCATTCCATACATTTGTGCAGGAAGCCTTCGTATTGACCACCGTGCACTCCTACCTCCAAATAGAGAGAAGACTTGCGTTGCATAGCCTCTGAGAAGAGTCCGTTCAATCTATTTCAGTCTCTGGCCCTGTCTGGTTTTGTGTTGCCAACAGGACTCAATGATATTCAATGTGAAGTCTTTCACATTAAAAAGAAGCCCCGTTAGGCTGAATGACTTATTTTGCCAAGGCGTCGCCACCATGAACGCGTAGGCTCTTGTCCACCACCACTCCTGACTCATCGCTCATCTATGTTTCATCTTAAACCTCTCACTGACTAAATTAAATGGAACTCTCATGCATTCACGGCAATGTACGAGGATACCTCGGAGAAGCCGAGCCATTCATTGGCGACTTTGAACACCCCCCCTGTCACTCGAGAAGCTGCAAGCAAGTGTGTCTACTTGACAGAGTTGATCAACAATTCAGTGACGAAAGCCTCATTTACTCGGCTGAAGCCAAGTTTGAGATTAAATTGACACATTTATTGGTTCATTTGGTTCTCATGTACTTGGCTGAAAGCCTGAAAGATTCAAACAAATTCTAAACAGTTTGAGAGATTCGGGAGCAGCATCTGCCCAGGACTCGTGGTGTCGACATGTTGAGCCGTCTTGTTTAGTCAAAACAGAGTTCCCAAATGGCCTAGCCACCGGGAGCACCTCCAAGATTCACACTGGTCAAAGCATTTTTTTTTGAACATTTCCAGGAAATTCATGGAAACTCCTTAATATAGGGTTGTCTCATGTTACCTCGGCCCTGCAATTCGCGGTTCCAGCCTCCAACATCACCCTTCACGCTCCTCGGCTTGCACATGTCCGGACCCGATGGCTGGTCCAGGTGTTCAAAAACAAAATCCAACAAGCGAGTGCATCATGCCTACAAAATAGAATCCTGTGCTGATGGCTAGCATTTCAAGCTCCTGCACGTTGTCAGGATCATTTCGACGTGGGTCGAAGCCCCATGGAAGGATACAAGAATAGTTGCTAGTTAACCAAGTGATGTTCACCAATCCCAGCTTTTTTCAATTTGGATCTTTTTTCTTCGAGCCACGGGTTTCAACGTTTCCCGACATTTCATTCTCACAAGCATGAAATCCAGAAGAGAAGCTGGTCGCTCATGCATGATTGAGGGTGCAACTATGCACCCTGTGCAAAAACAATGCCCCAACATTCCCGCAAAGGTGTGAGGTTTGTCCGTTGAAATGAAACACAAGAAGGCTGGTTGTAGTCTCAATACAGCACGTCAACATGTGTGTCTTGTTGCCCACCACCTGCTATATACCCCCACCTGGCACACTATAGGACGGGTGTCAAGACCTGGTAGATGAAGATTGCCAACTCAGTGACGAGCGTCAAGCTGAGACCACCAGACCACACTGATGTCATGCCTAGTTTGTAGATGTCCTCCACCCTACTAGTGATGGCCTCCACCCTACCAGCAATGGCCTCCAGCCTAATAGCGATGGGCTTGTGGATGTCCTCCTCTCTACTTCCTTTAAGACATGAAAGGGGTGCGCTACATTCCAGCAGCTGGTGCTGCCACCTTGGCACGTTGTTGTGTCCGGCATGTGAGGCGTGTGGCCTCGTCATTCGTTCCAAGTACGTCAAAACGGGTGGACCACGCCAAGACGTCGAAATCACATCGTCTGTCCCTGCAGCCCAGTCGACCATGTCAAGCTGCTGGTGCAACGTGAATCGTCTTGTAGACGCCACCTGGCAACTAAATCATGAGCCTCCGAGCCTCCACGACTTTCCTCATCACATGATGGAAAATCAAAATTTGTGGGTCTAAAAGGTCATGCTGTGATTGGATAGGAAAGCATATTCGGCCGAGGTTAAGGCAAACCAATGTCACCCACATGTATGGTTCATCTTGACAATATATATAATATATATGCTATGAATTGCTATGACGCACCCTTAAATCCCAACCACTCGCAACATCACCACTATGTCACTGTTCCATGAACATCCAACAACGGCACCAGCAAATGAATGCCTGCTACTGTTGCTTCTTCACGTGGCCAGTCAGGCATGCACATGACGGAATGAAAAACAACTACAGTAACATTCTGGGAAGATGGCACAGCACAGGCCTGCCAATCCAGCCGTCTCTCCAGTCACATGACATGTAGCGACCGCGTCTCAAACCCCATTAAGCACCTGGAAGAAGGTCTCTGGGATATCTTTAAGGATCATTCCATCGAAAGCAATGGCATCAGGTGAGCAACTCACTTCCTGCGAGGGAACGCAATTAAACGCAGGGTCTGAATACATGGAGACATTTGACTTGTCAGCGTGGGACAACCCGGCAGCCACGAACCACATATCTAATCAATTGATTTCACCCAGAGCCTCGGCCCAACATCTGGCAGAGAATGTGCGTACTTACTGCTCTGTCGGTTGCTTTCACACAGACAAGCTGGAGCATATCGGGTGCCAAATGCTTTGGAATGCTTTTGCTGCTAAAGGTTGGCTCCTTCTACTTTTCCTCGTCTACAAACGGATCCAAAGGATTCGCCAAGCATGATGGTATCTGAGGCAAATTGTGTTTTCTTGATTTTTATTGAAGCAAACTGCGTCCACATTTTGAACAGCAGCACCAGTGGTGTCTGGAACCCTCTATCTCTGCACGTCCTATGGAACCACATTCCGAGATGGGTGTAGCATGCTGTGACCAGACCCTCAAGGCTTCCTGAACCAAATGAGTGACTCATGTCACAAGTGACATGCGTCACTTGAGTCACGTCGCTGCCGTCTCCACGTCGCTCCGGGCGCCCGAGTCGGACCGGGCCTGCGGAACTGGGCAAGCAACCTGAAACAAGATGTGATACCTGCAATTGCCGCAGCACTGGCAAGAGGACTATGACTTCGCACCCAGAGTGCACCTGTTGGCACCTGAAAAGCCTGGTTCAGATTGAAACGACCGGTCGTGACCCATGAAACAAACTTTCCTCATGCTTTTCTACCCTGACAAGTGAAGCATCTACAGCAACTACATCCATCCATCTCCGTCCGTCCGTCCGTCCCTCCCTCCCTCCAGCCAGCCAGCCATCCATCCATCCATCCCTCGCTCTCTCTCTCTCTCTCGGGCTGCTCAACCTGTTCCTCCAGCAGTGTGACCTGTGAGGGAGCTTGCCATCTGTCCATCCTCATGAGGGAATTGTAATGAATGGCCTGCCCTATCACACCGCACCTCTGTACACTTACTAACTATTTTGACAGTTTCTTCAATCCTTTGCCTTTAAGAAAGGCTACACTACAGCTGCTACAGGAACGACCTGATCCATGACACACGTACTCACGGCTGGCTTCGCGCCGCTTCGCACGAGGTGCCGGTCACAAAGGGCGCCGGGAGGACGACGCCCATCGAAGAGCACAGCACGCCCCTGGACCGCCCTTGGAGGGACGGGAGGTTCGTCCCATGTTGTCCATGGACAACAAGGATGAGATAGGCCGATAGGCCCAAAAGGAAACACAGCAAATTACAGCAGAATAGGTTTGCTTGTGTGGCCATCGGGGCACCACACCGGAGGCAAAAGTGACCAAAGCAGGACCAAAGCATATCAACATAGGCCCTGTCCTGGAGCGCTCCAAGACCTTCTTGACAACCATGCGTCTATCTGCCTGCCATGCAATGGCCATGCAAACCCAAAAAGGCGAAAGCAAAGTTCCTACCTTAAGGCCAGGAGCCTCCGCCAAGCGGAAATGCCCACACGCGTGAGTGTCTGCATTCGCAACGAGCCTCGGCGGAGGACTGTGCGAAAATCAGGATCACTTGAGGCAAAGAGAGGCCATTCTCCTGATCGAACCTCAGCTGTGGTCCACGGGCAGCACAACCCTGACGTGCGATGCTCTGCATCTCCAAGGCTTGAAGTCCCAAGGGTTGCAGGCGTATGCGATCATATGACAAGAAGTCGATATATGAGGTCCAAATGACTGACTTCTCTAGACTCTATAGCCTCAGCTCGGTGTCCACTGCTAGGAGTTGTACATGCCAAGTGGCTTCAGCGCGACTGCATGATCCTGGAAGTGACTGGGTGACTAGGGCACCCGCTCCACTGCAAACACCCGCTCTATTTTACTATCCGTTCCTGACATTTCCTGAAAAGAAGAAAAGCAAAGCTTCTGCGGGCCTCACAGTGGTCACAATTCTCTTGAACATACCCAAATTGGCACACCCATCGCAGTCCGACTTGGCTGCAAAGATGCATAAAGGGGCTGTGCAATGGCCGCGCCATTTTCAGTCAGGGGCAATGGTGGAAACATGTGGAAACCATTGAAACCATCACCGCTTTTTGGGCTGGAAAGGGCCGTTCTCGGGATAAGGCCGAAAGCAAATGTCACGTCCCATTCCCTAAGTTGAGGACCTGTGTGAAACCCAGGGAGGTTCTACGGCAGAATTGAACCTATCAGATCAAATGCCGACCTCAGCCATTCATGTTTCACGAACGGGCAGCTTTTGAAACCACCCATCCCCGCGTAAACCAGCCAAAGCCGACGTGCTTTGACTTGACACGCTTTAATACGCTTTACTCACTCACCCCCTCCCAATATCTCCCAACTATCCCCGATCACCCCTGCCGGTGACGCCAAAGTACCAAAATCACTCTGGCCAGCTGAGACAAATCCAACGGCGTGCCATGCGTGCCATCCACACAGGTCTTGTAGGCCACCACCTGTGGAGAGTCTGAGAGTCCACTCCCAAAGTGGTGCAGACTGCAAGTCCCACTGACGGGCGACAGATAAGGTTCAAAGTGCAATGAAGTCATGAACATGTTGAACTAATGATGGCAAATGCACACTGGAGACCAAATCATAATTGATCCCAACAGTCTTCGAAAGGTTTCGAAAGGCATGAGCCCGTCTTCATCTAACGAATTCTGCCCCCAGAAGTGGTTCTTGGTGTTGACCCGACTGAGCGGCTTGGCAAAGCCATCAACCACTCAAGGCACCTGGAAGCTCTCTCGAGGACTACGAGCGTCGGGCCGCATCTCATCCCACAGCTCCTCCCGCAAACGAGTAGCGGCATTGGAGTGCCAAAAGGAGACAAGCGCTTGGGGATGTTGGAAGAATGCTGTTCCTCTATTATATGAAGGCGACTTCTGTGCGTCTATGTTTGTCAAACTGGATGAGGCAAAAGTGCACACATTAGCTGATTGACGTGTTACAATTTTATGCGTAAATGAGGCCATTGAAAAAACCTATAGAAATTAGCGTATGACTTATCCAACCTGCTAGTTCTACGTCAAGTCCATAGGCTCGCAAAGCAGCAGTCATCCATTGAATCAAAAACAGCTCCTGGATCTCATGGCTTAGGTGTTGAAGGTCTTCCAGATCCTTCACCTGGCAAACCTCAATTGTACGGCACTTGTGCTACTGCTGAATCTCACATTGCATAGTTGGACTTGCAACTAAATGACAATGATGATTGATGTGCCTACTCTTTTCATCCTGACCCGCCGGCAAACCAGAAGAAAAGACTACACTGCTTGGACTCAACCAAAGAACGTTGACGAGGGGGCTAAAGCCCCCTCTCCTGGTTGGTGGTCTCTCTCAATACTGCCGGCTTGTGCTGAACCCCTCCACGAACCACTAATTTTCGCCAGTGCACCTCTTCTTGAATGGGGAAATGGTCTGTAGCTGTTTGTTACTAGTAGAGATGCCAGGAGCTACTAGTAGCGATGCCCTTTGCTACTAGTAGCTTCTTGTTACTAGTAGAAACGGCACGTCGCCCATTGGGTGATCTACTCTAGACTGGACTATTTGGCTTGCATGGCTGGGGGCATCCTGCAGAAAAACCTGCAGTGAAGGCATCAGACTAAAGCTTGCGTACAACAGTTCAGCTTAGCCATTGGCACCCTTTTACAGTAATTCAAGTATCGAGGGACACCTGGACAAGCCCAGATCGCACCAACTGCACGTGTGGGCGGAGTTTGTGGTGCACTTGACCCATGGCTAAAGCATGCTAAAGCTAAACTCCGCAGGCAACGTGCAAGACACGTTGCGCTGGTCCCTCCTTCCGCTCCCCCTCCAGGGAGGCAGAGATCCAAAGCGAGGCGCAGGGAACACTATCTGCAGAAAAGGAGGCCAAGCATTGCCTGTCACCTGGCAGTCGATGCAAAAAGGTCTTATGTTGTAGGTGCTTGTCTTGCTGTATCTTATTATCTTGCTGTGTTTTTCTGGGTCTTGAACTCCGTGGCTTGTTGGCAGCTACAGCCACCTGGCCAATCACGATCAATCCATGATTTATGAGATCCAGTATGTTTTGTCAAGGCGACATGCGATCCTCCAGGTGATCCAACAGTCAAAACGAGAACCACTACTAAAAATTGGTACAGTAGGCACTGAAGTTCCTAGATAATTCCCTGGTTACGCTCCAACCCCTGAGCACAGAATAGCACAGAACCAGCTGTTTTAGTTCAGGGCCATATGTCTGGCCTGCAGGTATTGGCCCTCCCACACCCCGCCTGATGATCGGTCGGCCGAGGCTGCGGCCCAGCGCGACACCCAGTGAGATCTTGATAGCCTCGTGTACTCGGGAGCAGCGGGTGAAACGTCCAAAATCGTGAAAGATCAAAGAGGTCATCCCTGCAAGTAGGGTTTTGTGCGCAAAGTGTTCATGTGTAAGTCCTGAGATGCCAAGAGCCCTCTCAAGTTCCAACGTAAGTTTACTTTGGATTTTTGCATATTTTGGCTATCCATGGGCCATGGGTGGGAGGTACCATCGGTTTATATGAATGCCGCCCAAGTGTACTACCTTTTACCCTTGGCGGAGCGTCTGGCTTGACATTGAAATCATTGAAACCCAAAGACCCACAACACCACCTAGGGACTTGCAGAATCCCCCTGTCCAATTGACGAGGGCTTGAAATTGGGCTAAATTACTGAACATTTTCTCAGGTGGCCATGGGTTCATGTCAACATTCCCCACGGGGAATTGTAAGAGGATCGTATACTGACTAAACCATGTGCCATAAGCAGGGTTTGCTTGAATAGGCCAACGCGGACACTTCTGGCCAAATTACACAGGAACTGGTAGCAAGCCAGTGTGCTCAAACGCACAAAAGGCTGGTCCAAGGCATTGACCCAGGCCATGCAGCTCCCCCATGTTACCCAACTGTACAGTTTTGTGCTGGGTAAGGCTCGGGGTCTTCATTGGCAGTGCTGCTGAGTCACTTTGGCTCTTCTGCACGGCAGAGGCATTCCTCGGGTCGACTGGAAGCTGGAACTTGACTCCCGCTTTCAACGGATATGGTGGACGGGATCCTGTGAACCTGTCCCAATGCCGCCCATCTTGGGTCAACTGAAGTGGGTCTTCAAAATGGGACCCATGAACTCGACGACTTCTGGTGTCAATGCAGCATGGTCAGTGGCAATTCGGCGCGACTCGAAGGCCTTCCCCTTTGAAATGCGTGATGCAACACGCCTCATCTCACTGCAATTGGTATGCTACATGTGTTGTTCTATTGGAGCGAGGCCGAAGCGAAATCACATGACCATACGTCACCCACATCACCAAATGTTAACAAATTACAGTACATTACAACGTGAGAGTCATGCAACAGGCGAATGCCCTGTCAGACATCCTAGGACTACAGGGACATCAACCTACTCTGGGCGAGGGGTTGACCCATCAACTCCAAGCGTCAAGAAGTGAAGCCTTGGTGTGAAGCTACTAGTAGCAAAGGGCATCGCTACTAGGAGCAAGGACGCTACTCGTAGCTCCTGGCATTACGACTGGGAACAAGAAGCTACTAGTAGCAGGGGCATCGCTACTAGGAGCAAGGGCGCTACGACTAGCAGCCTAGCGTCAAGAAGTGAAGCGCCTTGGGAAACTCTGGTGTGACGCCTTGGTCTTTCACAGTGTTTGTTCAGGCTTTGCTTCGAGTGATTCATCAGGGTGTTGGAATAGATCCACAACCAAGACTGTTCCTTCCGGTGCTCCAAAAAGGCAAAATCTGTAGATTGTTGTTGGGTGATGCTTTCAAGCGTCTCAACCCTGTGACTTTCGACTTTCTTCGAGAAAGTGATCCATGAGGATCTGAAAGAATGCCAAGGCTGCAAAAATCGAAACATCTGGCCAAGTAAGGTCACCAGTGGGCTTGAAAGAAAACATCTCGTTATATTAATGTCATACAAAAAACATAAACAAATATATATATATATACACGGTACATATGTAAATTTAAATAAATATATATATATATACACATATTTATTTATGACCTGTATAACCGATTTTGACCCCCTGTAGATCTTCCGAGGGAACATGCAGGAAGAAAGTGTGAAAGAATGTCCTCGGCAAACTGACCCCGCAAATATGACACAGGCACAGGTCAAAAATGGAGCAAACTTTGACATGGCGTGATGCTCCAAGTCGGGTCGAAGAGAGAAACTCCTGAGGGAGAAGGGGCTTGCAACACGTCTCCAACGGGGGGGCATTCGTGAGGAAAGAATGTGGCTAGTCACGCCTTGGATGAAATGAAGCCGCTGCTGATTCCAAAGCTGCTTTTGTTCAAAAGCGATGCAAGTGGTCGATTCCCCTGAAAATGTGTTTGTCACGGCTGATTCAATATCAACTGCAACCAGTCGCATCTGCTAGCACGCAGTGCGCGGTCCTGTGGACGTACGTGGCCAAATGTCCAGAGCTTCCCAGGCTCATCGACGCATTGAACCTCGGAGCTCTTGAAATCGGGCTGTCAGGCATCTTAGACTTAAATAGACATGTATAGACTATTATATTAAGATGCCTGTTACTATAACGGAGCTCTTAACTCAAAAGTAAACTACTGTATATCAAACTAATCATATGGACCTTTATGGCAATGTGAGTTGAGGAGGAAGTCCAAGTGTGACGTAAAGACCTGGCATTCCACGTCTTGATTGATTTCAGAACCCCATCCACCAAAGGTGGGTTTGGATCTCCCAACTTGCACAGGGCCTAGGGCCTTTTGCACCTCCAAAAGCTTCTTCTCCCCGCCAACAGTACACAGCGCCCCGGTGGGGTTTGACAAGTCAAAGACGGCTTTTGTTGGCCCGCCCACCACCTGCCCAAAAACCAAGTGGCACAAAGTACGACAACATGATTGGGCTGACACTCAAGTTGCCATCCTGGACGCGAGAGAATCTGACAAAGAGTGCCCAAGTAGTCCCCAAATGCCCGCAAACTTGCAGCCTTGGAAAATGAGCATGTACGCTGTATGATGGTAATTGTTTCTTTACTAAGTTGATGCTGCTTGCCATCTTGACTCTGGCTGCCTCTTGTGGCTTTGATGCATCTTGAACATGGGAACATTGTGGCACAGAAGTTTAAGGGTCGGGCCCGTCAAACACCTCCCCGCACAAAGCCTACCCTGGCCCATGCCTACCTGTTTGGGTTCCACATGGTTCAACCGTCCAAAGCTTGGATGTTACTAGTAGCAATGGTCTCCAACCTACTTGCGGTCGCCGGCACCTATTTAATTGCGATGGGCGATGGCCTCCAACCTAGTAGCTTCTTGCTCCTGAAGCCAAAGCTTGGATGGACGCTGCCAGAACTCCAAAGCATCACAGGAGATCTGCCCAAAGGAGTTGGACCTGACAGACTGTCAGACCGGAGGAACAAAAAGAAACAACTTTACACTATGTGGCCTGAAGTTGGAGCAGTCTTTGAATCATCTCTTGGATTCAAGCACCTGCAACCCAAAAACAAAAACACTCTACCAGGTTAAGTTTCCCTAAAAATCTAGGAACCAAACCGTTAGTGCGAGGGCTATCCTGCGTCCTGTCGGTAGTAGCTACTTGTACGCTACCAGCTACCTGTCCCTATTAGCTACCTCTAGCTAACCGACCTCTACCAGCGACCTACCCCCCCAAAGAAAAGTCGATATGTAAGCTACCTAGCTTCTACTAGCTACCTACCTCTAGCTACTACCTACCTCTACTAGCGGCCTACCCCCCCGGACTTCAAAAAAGCTTTCGTTTTTGGCCAGGATACCACCCCTTCACCGCTTTCCCATGGCTGGTATCCTCGATGACTCGCACTGGCTCACCTCAGTCGCACGAGCGGCGAACGAAAAACCTCATTTCAATCGCACCAGCCCGGCCAGCCCTCTAGTCCATGTCAAAAATGTCCAGAGTGAAAAATGAAAAAACACAGTGTAACAATTAAATACAACTAATCAATGAGCTAGGAGAGAGAAGTATATCATAAATCCCCAAATCTGCCCCAGTGACACACCAATGGTCGGACCCATGAGGCTTTGTAAAGCCGAGGGAGCGCCATTCGCAGGCCCTGCGCCAGATCTGCGAAATAGCTTTCATGGCTGAACTATGCATCATATATGTTCCACACACATGGGTGCAAATCACTTGGAGATACTTGGAGTTCACGTTGCGCGCCGCCTCCAATAGAAGGCTGAAAGCATCGCGGTGCCCTCCAGCCCTCGGCGACATGAATCTAACATGAAGCTGCAAGCGTCAACTTTTCTGAATGGATGCGAAGAACTGTGAAGTCACATATGTATAATTACCATATATAATACGTACTATATTACTTAAAATATAGACTCCAGTTATATAATCAATTATATCAATATTGAGCAATGTTGATCAATCGTGATCAATCATGAACGTAGAATCAAAATGCCTTGACTGACTGCTTGGGCCCATTCCCATGGCCGAACCTCTTAGTCATCCACACCCAGTTCGCCGGTTCGCAGCACTCGCCCCATTCCACCGAGAGTCAGGTCATAGAGCAATAGCTCTCGCACCTGTCAAAGCCGAATGGGTTCAGGATGCTTCAGCTAAAACCTGAAAGGGAAACGCATGGTCCCAATATGCTAAATTATCATAAATGATAACCATATAAAAACGATTAAAACGGGCATGCAAAAACTTACACAACCCTCCCCCCAGAACGGACGGTGGGGAAAATTGTGGAAATGAATCTCTGGTCTTGATACCATGTCCAGTTGGAGGGGCAATATGTCGAGGTGTTGCAGCGTCGCATCCGCACAACCCATTAACAAAGCCCTGTCTCCACCGACTTTTGTTGAATGGTTTCGGCATGTTTCGGCATTCCACTGTAGTCACCACACGCAGCATTTAGCCGATGCTGAGACAGGGGTGGTTTGATTCGCACTAACGAACGCTTAAAGACATCGGACCGTCTAAAACGGCTAGCATCGACCCCGCCCCAGACCTCCACCCCGGGGCGAGTTCTCTCCGACCAACGTGCCTCCATGAGATACTTCTGTTTGTCCTCGATGTTGGTGGTGAAGCAGGAAAAGAGAAGACCTCAACTGTTCATCTTCGGGTTCTGCGGATGGTACTGTTCAAGAGATTCTGACGGCCGCCGTTGGTCCAAACGCTCGGCGGTAAAGCCCCAAGCTTGCTTTTGTTCATTGCTTCAAGACCTTTAAGAACTGCTCCGACTCTGAGGATGGATAATCTTTCAATTCTAAAACCCTTTGGCCTAAGCCTATGGAGCTCAGATCCTCTGCAGCTGAAGCCACCTGAGTTCTTCAAGAGCTCATCCTCAGGCACCTCCACCACCAAACGATGCCAGTCGATCCTCGGTCGCTGAAGCGGTCAATGTGTTTGAACACTCAATACAAATGCGTCCTCCTATATACACACCCTCCCCACCAGCTTGCACTATATGATATTGTCCTCTTCTTGAAGCACCCGTCTGTGCGACGGCTCAGGTTGGTCGTGCACGGAACAATTGCAAGACCAAAGGGACCATCTTCAAATTGGTGATCGACCTTTGAATGATTTGAATGCTGTCTGCATCTTTCTATATCTTTCTGGGCTATGCAACTCTTTTAGGGTCTTCATCGTGAATACCATCAACACCAAGATGTTCTTGCGGCAAACTGCAGTGCAACTCAAGAGAATGTCAGATGAGTCACATCAAAGAACAATCAACATAGAACGCGTAGAACCTGATGCCGCCCAAGTGCCCTCCCCACCACAAAAACATATGTTTGGAATGCTCTGACCCATCCATCAACCCCCACATTTCGACCAGGTTCTTGGATGGAAAGGGCATAGCCCACTCCAGAGGTGCTCCATCTACACGCCACCAGCTGACACCACTTCCCCAAATGGTGGGGAAGCGAATGACCACCTCAGGCAAACGGCCCATGCTCGGGTCAGACGGGGAGTCGTAGGCCACGGCGCAAGGTGAATGTGTGCCAAGCCACCGGAATGCACCCAGACAGGATTGCATCATACAATCTCTTCCTGGGCGAGAAGAAGTAGCCGGCGTTTGGAAATTGGAACTGAGGAACTCGGCGATGCAGTGACACCGTCGGGTGGGGCTGACCAAAGACCATCCATCTTACGCATCTTAAACATGTTTAAATATACCCGTGGCAACCTAACACTCTCTACAGGCTGTTGAATGCAGTAATGGTATTTCCCCGACTACGTCCCCGCTGGTCTCACGAGGTCCGCAGCCATGGATCGTGCCTGCCGCGGTGTTCTCTGCCGGCGGGCATATGCAAAACACGGATCGCCGCATCGTAGCCTCGGAAATTGCTGGACGGTAGTCATCCGACTGAACAATGCCAACGCCAATTCAGAATCCGTCGACCCTCAGGCAAAAACACAGATCACAGGCAGCAAAAGAATATGACGAACTTCTCCATTGAAACTTGCAAGAACTTTCCTACCTAGCCCACCTCAACCTACCCAAGTCTGAAGGAATTGCAATGCCTCAAGAAACTCATCCGTCTCCCGTCCACTCTCTTTCTCCACTCTGGTTTGTGGCGCCTCCCATAGTGATGCCTTTGCTAGCTCCTACCTTGGCTGGGACCATAGCGCGACAAAGTTCGCTCGACCATCCGTCGCTCTTCAGCAGGAATTTTTGGAGAGACAGGCTGTCACGGAGCTCACCGCCCCCACTTCCGCCGCCACATTTCTTGGGAAGAGTCAGAACCCTTTGGGTGCTCGTTGGAATGCCTTCATGCAATGTGTGACCTGATGGCAGTTGGACTTGGATTCCTTGCCAGCCACTAAGAAACGTTTTCTTGATCCTTGCCAGCAAGAAGGATAGCAGCCCAATCTGCCAATGCCTCCAGCGATTTGACAAGAATGCTTTCGATTTCTGCGCGCTCTGCAGCACGCTCCGTGGCGCATGCCTCAAGAGTGTCAGTCAATGCCTTGAGAACTGCAAGAGGCGTTGTCATGGCTTTACTCCGCTGCCAATCAACCGGACCTGCCACACTGGTGGGCGTCGCCTGCGGCACCTGAGCACGTGTGCTTGGCACACTCCGCCGGAGCTTGCGTCGCAGGGCAGCTGCGAGGGTCATGTGGTCACAAAGGCCACGGTGGTCCTCGTTGGGGTCTATACATGTCGTCTGCAGCTCATGCACATTCTGCAGTAGGGCTGCCGAAGCAGCTTGGAAACTCCTCGCAGGCTGCTCTGCCCAGCACTGACCTGAAGCCTCAGCAAAGTTACAAAGGGCCAGCGAAGCACCAAAGACAAGCTGTTCCACTGCAAGAACCTCAGAGGCGCAAAATCCACGTCCATGTGCACCTCCCGATGGTTTGCCTGCTTTGCTTCCACTCCGCCCGCTTGGCTCAGCAAAACGGCTGGCACTCACTGCGGCGGCTCCATCGGCCAGAGCTGCTGACAATTCACCGCTTCCAGTAGCGAAACGCTGCAAGCCTTCATGTCTTGCACGCACAGCCTGCTCTAGGCGGCTTCGACGCTGCAATGCTACGCAAAGTTCTTTTTGCGCGCATTTTGCTGCCAAGAGCTCCCTGTGTGCAGCAAAAGTAGGTTCCCTTTGAGATTTTGCAGCATCTGCAGGTTCCAGAAAAGCCACGGCTGACAGCCTTCTAGTCCTTTGCTCAACTTGTTCCTTGAGGCATTCATTCTCTGCACGGAGACATGCGATTTTGGCATGAATGTCATGCATGTCATGCACTTTCTCAGTGTTCTCTGCAACTGCTGCAGAATCACCCGTGCTCAGTGGATCCACGTGTGGAGGCAAGGCCTTACCAACCGGTGCTTGCTGTTTGGGCGTCCCACGACGCTCACGAAGCGAGGCTGAGCTGGAATGTAAGCGAGGAGGCCTGGGCGGCAAGTCTCTGGGAGTGGGAGCCATGGCTGGTGACTCGATCCTTGGCGTTTCACGATCGAGCTTGAGCCAGAAGCATCATTGGCTGACCTGGCTTACCACGAAGCTGGAGCATATCCGTCTGGCTTGCAGGTTACCCTGACTCACAGGTTGAAAAAGGACCGCTCAAAAAAGAACAAAATTGTGCCCAAACACTGCATTACGGAGCTGTTTGTTCTCTTTTTGGAAGGGTGAATTCTTGGGAACTCACTACTCACCCCAACGAATGTGCCGTACCGGAAAACCAGTCGTCACCTGGTGGCATGGCACATAAGACACAACCAACTCGTTGGGTTCATCAAAGCGTTGCTCAGAGGCGCGATGTTTGTCCAAGGTTGAGGAGTTCCCTCGAAGCAGTCGAACACAAAGACAGGATTGATGGAACTATCCGCTGTACAGGAACTTCTCATTGTGTACCAAGCTGAGTATCAAAACAATTCCAAACCTGGTCTTTCTGCAGCAGAAGTGGCACCAATTTGCTTTGCAGTTGGCAAGCTGGAGGTGTCGGTCCTCAGCCGTTTACAGTTTACGGATGTTTAGCTCAGTCATGCTCAGACTCGACTCGGAGAAACAAAGCCTTCAATTCCCTTCAGCACTCTGAGATGCGCCATATAGATGCAACAAGCATCTGCATTTGAAAATCATCCTCGTCCCTCAACTGCTTCCCTCCCAATTCGGGCATCACATTCCTTCATGTTCCTTCCTTAAGCCTCTTCCCAACAGTGTGAACGGTGGCACAATAGTCACAGGTGCTCCGGCACAATCCTTGCCGACAACTTTTCTTTCCAACCCGGAGGCCCACATAAAAATCCGCACTGCTTTGGATTTTGACGACGGGCAGTGACAAACAGTGATGACCCATGGGGATGCTCGCATAAGACTGCGTTTTGGGTCACATCTGGGTGTGCCAGCGCAAGCTGTCCTGCATTGTCCTGCATAGTAACTGTAACTCCACGTTCTATGACGACAGCTTCCTGACTCTACGGCTGCCAGGGGGCCGGCTGAAAGTCTGTAGAACCACCTTGCTGCCTTTGATCGATTCCAACCTCAAATGCTGCGAGGCGCCATGTTCATCAATGCTTTCTTCCAACAAGTGTCTGTCTTTCTCTTCAGGAGGAGCTTGCAGCTCCTTGCCCCGCACTCCTACTACTGCAAATGGAGACACCCGCGAAGCGTCCAATATTCCTATATAAATGCCCATGCCCATGACGTCTAGCCTATAGGCAAATAAGATACCCACGCTACAATCATCGAATCAACAGGCCATTCCTCCTGGGAGCAAGCCAACCAGGGCTACTTTGCCCGCATCATGCCAGTGGGATCCAGCGGGCATTTCTGACTCCGAAAACCCCATTCTCAAGGGGCGAAGAATCAAATGAAAAGAGTCAGTTGAGGGGTCCCTGTCATTTTGAGACTAACTCTGCTATTGCCCAGCCTCCCAGGACCTATATAACCAGGCTACTGATTGTAGATCTCCATGCGGATGGGATTGTTGGGGACCTGAGCAGATCGCATTTCCTGCATTGCAGATGGGAAGCATTGATCCTTCCACACTTCCACACTCACTTTTTTCACTTGGACCGTCCACTGTAGTGATGAACCTTCCACTCGCGCATCAACCCAAGCTACGTCTTCTTTGAGCTTAAACAAGTCGTGGAAACAGGGAGAGCTTTGCAAGTCTTGACGTCTTTCCATCCCACCAGAAACGATATTTTTGGAAATCATTGAGTCCAAAGAAACGGGCATGGACGTGAAGAAACAGTGACTGAATGACCGAATACCTCCATTGTCTGGCAACCAGAGAACAGCACTGTCACCCAAATGTCAAGGTGACATGGTGACAAAAGCACAGCAGAAAAGCGTCTCTCTTAAAGTCAAGCTGCCATGGCCATGAAGAAGAGGATATCTCCTTAGAGCCATGTTTCCCAAAATGGCCACCGGACCGGAGACGTTCCCCATCTTTCACCACCCATGGCGCATGCTGCAGAACACCACCATCACATTCACATTCAGTGAGGAAACAGAATATCTGCAATTACCGTCTACAGATGTCTACCGTCGATTCCGGGGATGGCGATGCCGGCGATCCCTGGAGCAAGACAAATACACGTCTCAAGGAGTCCCTAAAAAAACTGCGAATAGGTTGGAGGCCATTGATCCTAGACTGGAGGCCATCGCTCTTAGGTTCCTTTTGCTATTAGGTTGGAGGCCATCGCTTATTAAGAATAAGTTCTCCAAGGCGCGTTCTCCGCCCAGTACCGCGCCCGGTTGAAGCTCCACATCCGTCACGGAGGGTGGAACCTCAAGTGGCACTTGAGGTGGAACAAACTGGTGCAACGTCTTGTGGAGGACCCGAATCAAATAGAAATGCTCTCCTTTAAACTTGAAACCGGTAGCTAGAAGGAAACAGAAAATTGACATCTACTGTATATTATATATTTGTTATCTATCATTACAGTAGCTATATATATATATTTATGTTTCAAACCCCATTTGCAACGTAAAACTAAAGGGTGCTGAAAATACTACTGTGCAAGAGCTTTCTGTCTAACAGGCCTATGAGTCCTTCACGCACTTCATCCCACCCTCTTGACGAAAAAA